TAGCTAGTCCGCTTTGTTATGTCTGCCGCGGTGTGTAGTACATGTACATATAGCTAGTCCGCTTTGTTATGTCTGCCGCGGTGTGTAGTACATGTACATATAGCTAGTCCGCTTTGTTATGTCTGCCGCGGTGTGTAGTACATGTACATGTAGCTAGTCCGCTTTGTTATGTCTGCCGCGGTGTGTAGTACATGTACATATAGCTAGTCCGCTTTACTTGTGTTTACTTTTGTGTGTTTTTTATGCTGCTTCTTCGGATTTGTGCGAATGCTTGCTCTTATTATTTTTTTTCCATTTAATTTATTTTATTATTATGTTTCGTTTGTTTTACATGTTGTAAATGTGTTTTATATATAGTGCTGATAGTGGAATATTGTATTTCATAGTAACTGTTTTTTATGTGTATGTGCTTTGCTTCAATGCATTATGTATTTTATGGTAAAAATTATTGTCATGCTATATGTATGCATGTATATTATATAATATATATCTAGCTTATTACTTTGCCTGGAGCCTTATGTTTTAACACTTTCTCTGTTTCATAATGTTTTATATATGTAATTGTTTGATTTGATGCATTTTACTTCATACTGCATTATCCGACGTTAAATAAAGTTTATTGTATTGTATTGTATTGTATATATAAATGAAACGAAGTGTAAGCTTGTCTACAATGTACATCAAAGGGTATATTGATAAGGTGAATTTTTCTAATGAGTAAATTGATGTCAGTTTTGTAACCTGATAGATGTATAGTTTAGCGGCTTACATTTTCTGTCTTAAACTGGGCAATGAATTGATTGGCTACAGCGTTTCTAGGCTCTGTTAGGATTTTGACAAGTACTTCTGTGGAAAGTCCATGAAATGGTACAAGAATAGGCATACGGCCACAAAACTCGGGGATCATGCCAAACTTAATGATGTCCTTCGGTTCCACCTCAGATATTACACTGTCTGCATCTGTTTGATCAGCAGCTTGCTGTCCAAATCCGTACACCTGGTGGGATGAAGAAACCTGTATTATGCATTTGAAAATACCTCATGACAAATGTACAACATATATCTGAAGGCTTACAGGTAGTGTGGAGACTTATCCCAGCCCTAACATTTATACAAAATTTAGTCCCCTTTGCGCAAAGATGTTCTGAAACTTGAGTTAAAATCCCTCAAATGGTATGGAAGGAAAAGGTTTTTGAAGATACACCTCTTTTTCCCCTATTGGCGTGGTTATACCCAAAGGGGAATGGAGAGAGGGGAGCAATACCCTCCGATTATACAAAACTGTGTCCCCTTTGCCCAAAGATGCTTTAGAACTCTAGTTAAAATCCCTCAATTGGTATGGAAGGAAAAGGTTTTCGACATACCTCTATTTCCCTTATTGAGCCCCACCCATGTGCCCCCCTCCCCCACCTCTACAAAATTGAGAACCCTTTGGTAAAGGATGCTGCTCCCTTTGAACCAAAGAGCGGGATGAGCTAAAAAAAACAGAGAACCAGAGAGACCTGTGACTGATATGTATGTATATAAGATCAGAGGGGATTCAAAATTAAGTTTCTAAGACTTATTTCAGATACCCGTATAGTTCTATGTATGTCAACATTTGTTGTTCTGCTGGCCACTTCAGAGACTATCTGTACCAAATTGGTGGGGGTCTGGTCGATGATTCCATTGATGATAAAGTGGGAAGGCTGGAACAATTTAATTCACATGCTGCAACACAACAGACATTACCACATATTTTTGTTTTAACAAAGTAACCTTTTTTTCTCTGTTGTTTCTAATGATTTGGTCGAGGCCAGTGAAAGCTCCGGATCCCACAAACAGGATGTTAGTTGTGTCTATCTCCTTGTAAGATGAGGGCATTGACCTTTTGTCAGGAACTCTGACGTTTGTACCTTCCAGGATCTTGAGAAGTCTCTGCTGTACCCCCTCCCCGCCAACGTCCCGGTCGGAGTTATGGGATGATGTTTTCTTGAGTTTGTCTATTTCATCCAAGAAAATTATCCCTGTAACAAACAAGCAATGCATTCATTTCTTAGTCTTCATGAACAACTTTCTTATATAGAAAAAGTTGCTTGTTCACAATAAACATGCTGATACATAGAATGCAATACACAGAAAGTAATAAAAGTTAAAAGACCTAGACAAAGTATTTTTAAGCATTCCATTTTTAGGTTCTGGCTTCCTGACTAGCTTTGGTACCAGAAATGAACAAAGGGCCAGTCTCTGTATGTGACAGTCAGGTATCCCAAAAAGTACTTGTTATTAAATTTGACAATTTTAGGTGACAAGAGTAGAAAGTAAATGTACCAAAAATAGATCTCCACACTTTAATTGTGCTATTTATTCTTTAAGAAGGGGAATTATGTTTTATGTTGTGTATTCTAACAAACAAATCTATGACCTGGGGCTCATGTGAGATATTTAAATAAAAGTTGAACATCAGCATTTCTTTGGAATTTTTGGCAATTGTAGGCAATAAATAATTATGAGATATACCACAAATAAAGTGATGCTCACAGTGACATATGGATAGAATAAAAACCATTATTACAAACGACTGACAGCCAGGCTAGTACATTCACTGGCACACGGGCAATTTTCAAACTGTTTTTCCAGCGAAACATCCTGAATCCCTTTATGTTAATTTATATACCATGAGATTAAATACTTTTTGTAAAAATAATCTTTTACTTTTTAGTAAATTCACTTGTAGTTCAGCTAGTCTGATTTTGAACACCTGGACTATGTGGTGTTTATTTGATTAACAGTATTTACTTGATAAAGATGACAATGCCATGCTTAGCTTGAATAATTTTAGATTGCTAATGCTAATACCATTGAACAAAGATTTTGATGTTATTAAAAAGACATTAAAATTGTGGCCAAATCATTTTCTACAACTTTAAAAAAGGTGGAACAAGATAACATCATGTATAATTGTGTGACCTTGACCTCTCGTTAAATGGCCCTGACCCCATATGGGTGGTCAGTAGTCAGAGTGGAAAACGCACTCCCCTATCACCAAGGCGACCGGGGTTTGATTCCCTGATCAGAAGTAAAAGGGTATGGGGTCACCTGCCCGACCACCTGGGCTTTCTCTGGGTACTCCGGTTTCCTCCTACATTAAGACCCCACGCTATATCTGGGCCAACAAGAGTTTTACATTTCTATGATGATGAAATACAGTACCTTGCTGACACCTATCCAGATCATTATTAGCGTTACTGAGGAGTCCAGATAACAAGGATTCCACATCGTCACCCACATACCCTGATATCGTCAGGGATGTACAGTCACCGACATAAAACGGCACATCAAGAAACTCTGCCACTGCATTAGCCAACAAAGTTTTACCTAAAAGGAGGAAAATAATATTCAGTCAGTATTCTGTTGTCACTGATTCCCCTGTGAAATGCCTCCTGAAACTTGAAAGTGCTGTGTATAAGTAATATGTGATCTGTAGGTAATAGCCACTGACTTTGGTGGCGATGGGATGTTATCCAAGACTGACTCTGGACAAAGTGGGTTTCAATTAATATTTTTTTCCAGTGTTTTCTTAACCTCCTTCCATATTCCAACCTCATGCACAAGCACCTAATTATTGATGGTGTCTGAAGTCTCAGTTTTGCAGTCAGTCCTGTTTTCACCATGATACCTTTACAACTACATGTAGGTCCTACCTGATCCAGTAGGCCCGAGGAGTAAAATATTACTCTTTTCCAGAAAAGTTTTCTTCTCAACAGACTTTGCATTTTCTGCATCCAAAAATTTCTGTAAATGATTTGGGATCAGTCTGTTAAAATGATCAGTGTGTGCAAAAATATCCTGGTGTGGATCATCTGGAAGAGAAAATATCTGAATGAATTAAAGAAAAAGGTCGCATATTTTCCATAGTACAACCAGATTTTAATAGTTGCACAACTCCTGATTGAATTTCTCAGATAAGATTTATGACTAATTTCCAACATAACACTTAACTGTATAACACTAATTTAAAGCTATTATTTTAATTCTTTTGTTTCATTGTTTACAGTATAATGTTGATAATAAAGGTAGGGCACCTATTACATTGTTTACGGTATTATGTTGATGATGAAGGTAGGGCACCCATTACATTGTTTACAGTATAATGTTGATGATGAAGGTAGGGCACCTATTACATAGTTTATGGTATTATGTTGATGATGAAGGTAGGGCACCTATTACATTGTTTATGGCATAATGTTAATGATGAAGGTAGGACACCTATTACATTGTTTACAGTACAATGTTGACGATGAAGGTAGGGCATATATTACATTCTTTACGGTATAATGTCGATGATGAAGGTAGGACACACATTTCATTGTTAACAGTATAATGTTGATGATGAAGGGAGGGCACCCATTACATAGGTTATGGTATTATGTTGATGATGAAGGTCGGGCACCCATTACATTGTTTACAGTATAATGTTAATGATGAAGGTAAAGCACCTTTTACATTGTTTACAGTATAATGTTGAAGATGAAGGTAGGGCACCTATTACATAGTTTATGGTATTATGTTGATGATGAAGGTAGGGTACCTATTACATTGTTTATGGTATAATGTTGATAATGAAGGTAGGACACACATTTCATTGTTTACAGTATAACGTTGATAATGAAGGTAGGGCACATATTACACTGTGTACAGTATAATGTTGATGATGAAAGTAGGGCACCTATTACATTGTTTATGGCATAATGTTAATGATGAAGGTAGGGCAACTATAACATTGTTTACAGTATAATGTTGATTATGAAGGTAGGGCACATATTACATTCTTTACAGTATAATGTCGATGATGAAGGTAGGGCACCTATTACATAGTTTATGGTATTATGTTGATGATGAAGGGAGGGCACATATTACATTGTTTACGGTATAATGTTAATGATGAAGGTAGGGCAACTATAACATTGGTTACAGTATAATGTTGATGATGAAGGTAGGGCATCTATTACATTGTTTACAGTATAATATTGTTTACAGTATAATGTTGATGATTAAGGTAGGGCACATATTACATTGTTAACAGTATTATGTTGATGATGAAGGTAGCTAGGACACACATTTCATTGTTTACAGTATAACGTTGATAATGAAGGTAGGGCACACATTTCATTGTTTACAGTATAACGTTGATAATGAAGGTAGGGCACACATTTCATTGTTTACAGTATAATAGGGCACCTATTACATTGTTTATGGCATAATGTTAATGATGAAGGTAGGACACCTATTACATTGTTTACAGTACAATGTTGACGATGAAGGTAGGGCACACATTTCATTGTTTACAGTATAATAGGGCACCTATTACATTGTTTACAATATAATGTTGATAATGAAGGTAGCTAGGACACACATTTCATTGTTTACAGTATAACGTTGATAATGAAGGTAGGGCACATATTACACTGTGTACAGTATAATGTTGATGATGAAAGTAGGGCACCTATTACATTGTTTATAGTATAATGTTGATAATGAAGGTAAGGAACCTATTACATTGTTTACAGTATAATGTTAATGATGAAGGTAAGGCACCTATTAAATTGTTTACAATATAATGTTGATAATGAAGGTAGCTAGGTCACACATTTCATTGTTTACAGTATAATGTTGATGATTAAGGTAGGGCACCTATTACATTGTTTACAGTATAATGTTAATGATGAAGGTAAAGCACCTTTTACATTGTTTACAGTATAATGTTGATGATGAAGGTAGGGCACCTATTACATTGTTTACAGTATGTTGATGATGAAGGTAAGGCACCTATTACATTGTTTACAGTATAATGCTAATGATGAAGGTAAGGCACCTATTACATTGTTTACAGTATAATGTTGATAATTAAGGTAGGGCACCTATTACATTGTTTACGGTAATATGTTGATAATGAAGGTAGGGCACATATTACATTGTTTACGGTATAATGTTGATAATGAAGGTAGGGCACATATTACATTGTTTACAGTAGTATGTTGATGATGAAGGTAGCTAGGACACACATTTCATTGTTTACAGAATAATGTTGATAATGAAGGTAGGGCACATATTACATTGTTTACAGTATTATGTTGATGATGAAGGTAGCTAGGACACATTGTTTACGGTATAATGTTAATGATGAAGGTAGGGCACATATTACATTGTTTACGGTATAATGTTGATAATGAAGGTAGGGCACATATTACATTGTTTACAGTATAATGTTGATGATGAAGGTAGGGCACATATTACATTGTTTACAGTATTATGTTGATGATGAAGGTAGCTAGGACACACATTTCATTGTTTACAGTATAATGTTGATAATGAAGGTAGGGCACATATTACATTGTTTACAGTATAATGTTGATGATGAAGGTAGGACACACATTTCATTGTTAACAGTATAATGTTGATAATGAAGGTAGGGCACCTATTACATTGTTTACGGTAATATGTTGATAATGAAGGTAGGGCACATATTACATTGTTAACAGTATTATGTTGATGATGAAGGTAGGGCACCTATTACATTGTTTACAGTATAATGTTGATAATGAAGGTAGGGCACCTATTACATTGTTTACGGTATTATGTTGATAATGAAGGTAGGGCACATATTACATTGTTTACAGTATAATATTGATGATGAAGGTAGGGCACATATTACATTGTTTACAGTATAATGTTGAT